TATCTCTTCCATTCTTGCTTTTTCTAAACAGTCACAGAAATGAAACCGAAACAATTTTCCCCAAAAATTATTGGAAACGTTATTTTTGTAGAAAACTATTTTGCCGATTCGGATTTTCTCCACAGATAAATTTAACCAGGACACAAATTAATAAACAAGGAACAACTCCAGCTTAAGCAAAGTCTCCCCGTGCGGATTTTCCAACATTGTCTGCAGAAATTATGTAATCCGGCTTTGTAGTGAACACATAGTACACACAAATTACTACTCGTATATTCATTATCCCGGCTTTCCTTGAAGAAATGAAAGCAGGGCATTGTACTAGTAATGGAGAGCTACGCCGCCGCGTTGGGTGTCCGTTTCCAGAGGATTATTAAAACTAATATTGGCTCAGGCAGAAAATACAAACGGCTTCATTATATTAGGAGCCGCGCTCTAACGTGAATGTATAACAAAACCGCAAAAGGGTTCGATGAACGGGGACGATGGGATTCGTCAAATCGGTTTGTTAGGAGAAAAAAAACATAGTAGTGGATGCTCTATGAAAATTTGGTTGTATAAAAGTTCGAAGGTATTAGAGCAAAGTTGTCGAGCTCGAAATCAAAAATTTCATTATACAGGATGTCCCAAAAGTGACGCCCGTCTTTCTAGGATTTGATTAAGGAGACAAAAGCGAATTGAAAATCAAGAGTGAAACATTTTCCGATTGTTTTCCGTTGTTGAGTTATTCAAAAAAGTATTCAAAAAACTAAAAAAGTGAAAATCCATTTTTTTGTCTCAAAACTGAGGTCTGTACTTATGGGAACCAAGACAAATAATTTATAACCAATAGTAGATAAGTATAGTTTTCGATTGTCGGTTGTACCTGGGTGTAAGGAATTATTTTAACCTGAAAACGATAGAGTAAAACATTTTTATAATAAAACATAAACTAAAATCATAATGTGCATAAATAATAGAAATTGCTTTTACAAAAGGTGTTCAAATAAGTTGCCTTCTACTACGATTCAGCATTGAAACATGAACTCTTTGTAGCATCTCTTGGTCTATTAACACGACAGCTGCGTATATACGGACTAAAAGTCTTTTCTTTTAAATAACCCCAAAAGAAAAATCTAGGGGATTCAGATCTGGTGATCCAGGAGGCCATGGTCCACCTCTTCTAATCCATTTATCTCGGAAGTTTTGATTCACATAATTTTATATTCGTAAACCACAATGTGATGGAGCCCATCATCTTGAAAACAATAATTTAGTCTAACTGCTAATCGGAACGTCATGCAGCAATGGCAATGGTAAGTTTCATTTCAAAAACATACAGCTGCAGCAAATACAGCTTTGAACTACATAAATTAATAACCCAGCCCAAATGTTTATTTTTAGTTTTTTGATTAATTTTTTGAATAACTCAGCAAAGAAAAACAACCGGAAAATTTTCCACTCTTGATTTTCGATTTGTTTTTCTCCCCTTAATCAAAACCCATAAGGACGGGCGTCACTTTTGGGACACCCTGTATATATTTTTCCGTTTTTGAGAAGAAGAATTTTAATGCGATATTTAAGTATATACTTTGAAAACACGTACAATAATGTTAACGTAAAAAAATAACATAAAAAAATTATATTAGGTGTTCTTACGATATGGCAGTTTGAAGTACGACCTGTTAACAATGGTATTTTTTAAATATATTCAAAATCAGTTGAAGTATGAGTATTATAGTTATAGGAGTACATATACAGTTACAAAAAGGTATGTTGCATGTAACCCAATTAGTACCAAGTACTCCCATAATAAAAAAGCGGAAAAAACCCAAATTTGATTCATATCTCCAAAGTATAGTCAATTCTTTCTATCTTTAGCATTCAAGAAACATTTATTAAATAATACCTGAAACTAAATAGCACACCATGACGTTATTCTTTTATTTTTGGACTTAATTGAATTGATGAATGAAAATCGCATCTTTTATCAACATTTTTTTAAGAGCAATGTTTTTTCTAATTACTATCATGCTTTTACTACAAGCTCAAAACACAATTTTTCAGAAGACATAGAAAATCGATATTTTTTTAACAAGATGACTGCTAAAAATGGATTTCATATTTTTTATGTGACTCTATTCAACTATGATAGCCAAAACGTGTACCTACCTACCAATTTTGGCACATTAGTTTTAAAAGTTTTGAAAAAATTGCCAACAGATCATATTCAAACTATTATATATTCGTTGGAATTCTAAAGTTCGACAGTCGAATGAAGAGATTCCCTGTGGCAGTCGAATATCAAAATGAAGTAACTGGCGTTATTACTTCTAGTTTACTAGAGTCTAGTCAAAATACTACTGTTACCTATAACCTATTTTTTTTGTACTGCTTCGACAATATATAAAACTACAAAACCGAAGAGGAACAATAGGTACCTACCTAATTTTTTGCTATCTT